GTAAACATGTACAAATATAGCAGTGCAGTGGAGACACTTATGTTATGGTGCGTACGTGGAATTGTAGTATATCAAATTTCATAATGTCTTTGTGTGTATGGCAAACCGGAAGTAGTGAATGCCCCGGGCTTTAACACATGGCAAGAGAAAGAGAGGGTGAGACGTACCAGCGGGTGGTTGAAGTGTGCAGGTGTTGCAGGTGTTGAAGGTGAGTAGGTAAGCTAAAAATAGTACGAAAAACACACCCGTGATTATGTAGGTTTCATGGTGTTTGCGCAATTTTGTTCACAAAAATGTCACATGCGCAAAGTCTGCTTTATTTATATAGATTTGTACAATTTTTTGTCTTGGGATATTTTTTGTATGTGGCTTCTCCGTGTTTACTTCAATTGTTTAGTTTTAAGTCTATTTGGATTACAGTCCAGTACTTATTTCAATTGTGATGTCAATTTTTGCTGCCATTTACCTAACGCCATTACTCGGGTAAGGCTTAAGTGTTTAATAACGCTTTTAGCTTTCGCGCACCACTTTCCAAGAACGTAACCTTTGTGATATGCAAGGGGCTGCTGCATTTTTCTATGCAGCGACTACAGCAGAGGAGTATGGATTTTCAGCAGAAAATAGATCTCTGCTTTCTTGATTTAATAAAGACCATAAAGAGGCTTGAGGCTTTGGGTTGTTACTTGTTTTCTATTTCTCTGCCTCTGCTCACATTATTTGAGGATTTTTATGATTTTGGGCAGGGATGGTCTAAAGCTGCGTGACCAGGAGTTGGAACCATTTCCTGTTCAACTTGGCTTGTGACAGAAATTCACTCTGGCCCCATGCATTAGATTACATAGCATCTTAAATGACTATGTAGTTTTAGAAGCTCACAATGGACATATCAACCTTATGACAGTACCCCGGGGTACCATAGTACCCCGGCTCTCGCATAATGTCCGTGATGCAGTCATTTTTAGTCTGTTGATGGTCGGCGATGCTGCAATCGACTCATCTCCACAAGCTGTACACGATACAGTATGGTACATACGAGCGTTCAGGGTTTCAGTGCAATCGTCCTCGCGTTTCGACATCGCGGAGTAGCACTGATTTCGGTTTGATTGGTACCCCTTCGCGGAGTTAAGTACACCCCTGGAAAAAATAGTATACAAGAAATAAAATATTTAATTTCCTTGGCCATTTTGTATTATTTGTTACCCTGGGGTACCGCCATAAGGATCATATAAAAACCATTGCATTCGTTACGGTTACAATGATACGCTTATCGATGCCTGGTTATAGTTAAAGGATCCTTCCCTGCTGGTCAACCCTTTGCATCTGCTGATGATTTGGTAATGGCTACTCAGTGAGATGGAGTTAGGGAAACTTGTTCTGTGCCTTGATAATTCAATCTTGAAATGGGGCCTTGGATATGTTCCTCAAAAATAAATCACCTACCTGGGAATTTAATGGCATACAACACTGCACCTGCTCAACTCTCCATGAATAATCAATCTGGTTTGGAAGCCAAAGTCTTCAAATTAGTCGATCAGCATTCTTTCATTAGACTGTGTCACACCATGTGGAATCTGCCTGGACTTTTGCTTCATACAAACCTGTGAATGTCCATCGCCAAGGTCTAGTCCGTCTGAAACCATCCCTCACCCTGCGATACTGGCATCGCACCCGCCCGTCACCCTTCATCCTGCGGATGGTGGGCAGACAAGACGGCACCACATAGCCATTCCAGGCTGGGCCTGAATGGGTTACGTGGGTCACCTATCCATCAGGCGCTTGCTGGCGAACATCACTTTCAGGTCTCGTTCCAGGGGTGATATCAATATAGAATATCTGTAAGGATGCCTCCCAATAGACTCCCCCTCGAACTCTACCAGGCACGTCCCACTGGGGGAAGACCCCGGGGCCGACCCAGGACACGCTGGCGGGACTATGTTGCTCAGCTGGCCTGGAAATGCCTGGGAATTCCCCAGGAAGAGCTAGTCTGTCGCCAGGGAAAGGGAGGTCTGGACTGCCCCCTACTCAAATGTGCTGCCACCGCAACCCTCACCAGGACAACCGGATTTAGAAACGAACAAAAGAACAAAGCTGTGAGTCTTCTTGGCCACAGATATTACTCCTTTCTCTGTGGATGCAAAATATATTTATAGTGTAATGACATGATATTGGTCACTACGTAGCATAGTGCTGGTTGCTGGCAGAGAAGGGGATCTGCAGTTGCAGAAGCCCTGTCTAACAGCAGGTCACGTGATAAACCAGAGAGGGATGTCGGGGAAATGTTACAGAGAGGGGCACGTGAGGGAAGCCCGGGAACCCGCAAGTAGGTTCTAGAAGGGGGGCGTGGCCTGGGCAGAGCAAGGCCATGCTGGGAGGATAAAAGGGGACCTGGAGCGAGGGCTCGGGGCTGTTGCCTGCAGTGGGATCCCGTCGTGCTGCTGGAGTCTTCACTGCCGTCTTCACCTGCTAGGTGCTGTCAGGCAGTCTGCCAGCTGTCGTGACTGGGGTCTGTAGTTACTCTGTGTGGACCGTGAAGGCTGTTAATAGAGTGCCTCCTACTCTTAGTGTCTGAGTCAGTCACTACACAATTAAGACTGGCCTGCCTATGATCCCTCATCTATTGAACTAGACAAGATTGTATTAGATCCTTACAGCCCTAAAATATCAGTACAGAATATAATCAGTGAGCCTCTGCATTGGTTGGGTCATGAATCCTGTAATCCCAGACACAGCATGCTCAAGCAGTTTCTGTTAGTCCAGATATTAGGGGCTAAACAAGCATTGCATTACTCTTTGGTTCTTTCGGTGAAGTCACGTAGAAAGAAAATAAATTAAATAATAGAATACGACGTTTCGATTGCAACACAAGCAGTTGTCATCAGGTGGAACTAAATTTGAGAGAGAGACAAAACACAGATACGGAGACACAGAGAGAGACACAATATAGACACAGAGACACAATGCCTCTGTCGAGAGGGGGGTGGGGCAGAGAGAGAGAGAGGTGGGTTTGCTAGAGCAGAGAAATTAGCATGTCAATGAGAGAGCTGTGTAGAAATCAACCCTCCCCCCTCTCTCTCGATTTAAGACTGACACAGAGGCATTGGGTCTCTGTGTGTCTATGTTGTGTGGCTCTCTCTGTGTGTCTCTGTGTCTCTCTCTGCTTGTGTGTCTGTGTGTCTCCGTGTTTGTCTCTCAAATTGAGTTCTACCTGATGACGACTGCTTGTGTTGTAATCGAAACGTCGTATTCTATTATTTAATTTATTTTCTTTCTACGTGACTTTACCGAAAGCTTCAAATCAGGCATTGCATTGGCTAGAGAGGAGATTGGAGAATGTGGAGGTGATCGGACCTGCCGATGATTGGTACCAGGAGTGTCAAGATCGGCCTCTGTGGAGGAGGCCCGTGAGGTATGCTGCAGGGCAGTTGGAGGTATTTGCTCTGTAACAATGAGGTTGGAGGAGCGATGCTCACATGAATGGGTGGAATGCTAGATTCCTAAAACCCATAAATACAGTGGGGAGCACAGCTGGTACATCTGTCAATCATCCCTTGACACCTGGATCCTACCGATAACCTGCTGACAAGTAATCCACACTTACATGGCATTAAATTGCACCTATCATGGCATGCACACTGTAATAAGGTTACAATTCGTGAGGAATGGTGGCTGTTTTGTTTCTATTTGGTAATGATTCATGTGAAATGAACGTGTATGTAAGTATATCTCTGTGGGGAGTGTGTACACAGTTATTTCACTGCATTTTGAACTCAACAATTAGAGTTTGAATATCGCCGACAGCAAACATGATTGACTAGCCTTTTGCCCGTCCAAGGGCGGGTGTATTGCAGTGAATCTGAAACTCGCAATCGAAAAGCAGATTGTGACGTGATATTTATTGCATTAATGCGTGTGCAATTTGTAAGGGCGCGGTGACACAGACCTATTAAATGTTATGGTTATAATCCCTCGTTCATCATGACGTTATTTTTACTTTGATGTCTCAATAGCGTTACAGAGATGGCGTGACGTGAGGGCTCTGCCTTTGTCGTGAGGGTTGTAAGTTGACGCCGAGGAGGGGGGAGGAGGTGCCTCGGCCCCCCATGTGGGGTGACGTCAGCCGCCAGTTATTATGAATGGTTATTAATGAGGGGGGGCTTGTCAACGTGGAGTGACGTCACGAGCGTTGCACACAGACATTCTTGTCTCATAGTAGGTAATAAGTGAAAAAATAACTTATTGTGGGCTATGTTGATTGATCCTCAATTAATTACATAGTGAAGTGACGAAGCATTAATGCTGAGCAGATGAAGGTGGCCAGGCATGGTTCTGGAGACACCACTACCTTTTTATCATGCCAGTGTGTGACAGTGTAATGTTTGCATTTTCTGTCAAGTAACTCTTTTGAACATGGAGGTTAAAGCAAAACAATAGATTATTTTAGTTTTCCTCTGAAACTTTTTATGGAAATGGAAAGAGTCAGGAAATTAACACAGCACATATGCAGCTGAAGTTAGATCTGTTCATTCGAGCATTCAAGCAAAGCTGAACCTGGCTTCACACCTCTAAGTTGCGATTGAACATTAATTTATGCATTTCTGCATAATATCAATAGTATTATTTTCAACATCCTTTGCTATGTTAACTGAATTTTTATTGTATAAATATATTTTTTGTGCTTGGATTTGGTTTAATATTCATTTTGGAGATACCCGGACTTCTAGGCATTTATCACCATTTGCCCTCATTGCGTGCCTTAACAGCACATGTGATGAATTGGGGAATATTTTTCATTATATCATGAATATATGAATAAGTATAGACATGTAAGTCACGTGTAATCGTGTGTATATGCACTCCTCTGTGCCTCTACTAACGTAGATTGTGTGGATTTTTTTTTCTGTCTGCAGCTGACGCTTCCTCTGCAGAATTGGACTGATGGAGCAAAGCCACTCAGCGCTGCTCGGTACAAAATGGAAACAATGCGACCAGTATGCAAACAGCACGGATCGTACTGGAAACTTGATACAGCACCAGAGAACACACACAGGAGAAAAACCATTCAAGTGCAATGTGTGTGGGAAGACGTTTCCACTTTCATCTACTCTTCAAAGACACCAGAAAACACACACAGGAGAGAAACCCTTCAAGTGCACTGTGTGTGAGAAGGCATTTGCACGGTCATCAGTTCTAATGAGCCACCAGAGAACACACACTGGAGAGAAACCATTCAAGTGCACTTCGTGTGGGAAGTCGTTTGCAGAGTCATCTAATCTTAGAACACATCAGAGAACACACACAGGAGAGAAACCGTTCAAGTGCACTGTGTGTGAAAAGGCATTTGCACAGTCATCAGGTTTTCAGGCCCACCAAAGAACGCATATGGGAGAGAAACACTTTAAATGCACTCTGTGCGTGAAGGCTTTTGCAGATTCATCAAATCTTAAAAGACACCAGAGAACACACACAGGAGAGAAACCTTTCAAGTGCACTTCGTGTGGGAAGGCATTTGCACAGTCATCAGTTCTTCAGAACCACCAGAGAACACACACAGGAGAGAAACCTTTCAAGTGCACTGTGTGTGGGAAGACATTTGCGCAGTCACCACATCTTCAAAGATGCCAGAGAACACACAGGCATCAGAAGATCCCCAAAGAGTGGAGTCTGACATCGACTTGTAAAAGTGCTGCAATGAGCCCATCCCTCATGAAACAAGAACCAGAAGAAAATCCCAGCTTGGACACTTTGAAAGGTATCAAGGTGAAAAATGAAGAGGTGAAATGTGAAGAAGTGACAGTGAAGAGCGAAAAAGTAAAGGTAAAATGTGAAAATGAAGATTCAACTCTAAAATCTGACCACATCGATGGAGGCAACGTGAAGCAAGAGGAGAATTCTGACTGTAAGGCAGAGCGAGGCAACTCCCAGCAGTTTGTGGAAGTGGAGGTGTGGCTGGACTTCTTAGACAGTACAAAGTCAAATAGAGACCCGGTAGATGTGGAAGCTTGAGACAATAAAGCTCTAATAGCTTCACCTTTGTCACAGGCCTTTAATTAAAATAACGTGAAGTTCAACACTCAATTCCTCGGTGTTCAACCTGCAGAGTAAGAGTGGCCAGTATTTCTGAACCTGTGGGTTTGGAAGATGTCTTACCAGGAGCGAGAGCCAAAAAGTTCCCAAGTATTCACTGTTATAATATTAGCGTTTATATGGTGCGTGCTTAATTGCATCAGCAACTTAGAGAATTGCATCATATCTCATCACAAACACTCGAAGAGCACCCCCAAGTGGCAGCTTCCGCTGTGTGGCATAAGGTGGCCCTGCACCAGCCTGCATGTAGGCATGAGTCTGTCAGTAGGGGGAGATGATTGATGTGTAATATCATTTATGTAATTTCTGGATAATGTTTGGAATTACCCAAATTTTGACCATGAGGTCAACATGCAATGCAGACGGTGCATATTTTGGTTAATGTTATTGGACTAACCAGGGGTGCCTGTCAGATTTGAACCATGAATCTGCAATAAATAGATATTGTGCTACCACTTGGCTTCCCTCAATCTGAGTGTAGGCATGCCAGCCTGAATGTTTGTAACCGGTGCAGATCTTCCATTTGGAGGGATCCACGTTTCACATGCGTAGAGAACAGAAGGCATGACTGTAGCAGAGACAACCCGAAGCTTCATGCGGAGAGACAGACCAGGAAGCTTCCACACAGCATTGGGCAGCTGATGAAAAGTTAATGCCGCCCGACTGATTCGGACCAATCGCACAGTGTACACACATACGAAGTGTAGACAGTATTGTACACACACTGTACCCACAAGGTGTACACACATGTGCATACACAGTGTACCTGCACAGTGTGTGTACACAGTAACAAGAACAACAACTGTCATTCGCCACTAAGTGGCGTGTGAAGTGTCGAACACCCACCGGCAGGAGTTCATGGGTCGACTGACTGAGATGACTGGCCGAAGCACCACCTGTGCCCCCTACTGTGCCAACTGTGTACGCACACACAGTGTATATACACAATAATGTTCACGTTGTTGAGCTCGCGCACCTAAGTTATTTGTTCAAGAGAGGGAGCAATGGAAAAGGAATCTAAATAAACTTAAACTCAAACCCCGCTCTCTCTCGCTCTCTGATGGCACCACTCCGCATGACCTCAACGTCGTGAGACGTCAGGGGGAGGTGTACCCCGCTAGTGACGTCATGTCACCAAGGTATTAATCCCCTCCCCCAACACCCCCCTCTCCCGCGCTTTTGAGCGTAACGTCACGTCTGGTTGGTCACTGCCGATTTCTGTTCCATTAAAATCCTTACTCTTTGGTTCTTTTGGTAAAGTCATGTAGGTATAAATTAAATCACGATGTTTCGGGCACAACGCAAGCGTCCGTCATAAGATGGGACAACCACAGCAAGAAACAATTGCTGAAGTGGGCAAAAGGGCTGCTTGTAACAAGAGGCTATATAGGTAAGAGTGGGGGGAGGAGCCAGGGAGGAGAGGGAAAGAGGGTGGGGTGTGGGGTAAGGAGAGTGGAGTTCTTCAAGCGCCGACACGAGCACGACAAAATGCCGGGGCTGGGAATTGAGCGGGGCTGGGGGGTAGGAGGCTGAAGAAACTGGAGATGCAGATATGAAGGCAAACGATGAAGCAGGTTTTACCAGGTTAATAACATCCTTCCAATTATTGCTCAATTTGTATCCATCTTCTCGGTTGAAGTTATGCCTATGTTTATATATCTCGATGGCTTCTTGAATAAACCTTTGATAGTAGCCTGAAGGTTTGCAGAACACCTTGGTCTCGGAAAAAAACAATATCATGAGAGCCCACAGCATTATAGCAATGGTCATCCACGGTGGAGGTATTAGTCCTGCCGTGTTTCAGATCTAACTTGTGCTTGCAAACACGGTCCGAGACATGACGTTTCGTTTCCCCAATGTAACAATCACCACAGGAGCAACTTAGTTTTTAGGCTCCCGGATATTGCATGTCAGGAATTACGTCCTTCACAGATGGGTTTAGATCACGAATTTTGGGTACTGTACTGAATTGGACCTGGATCTTGTGTTTTTTTAAAGATTTTGGATTTTGTTTTGGTAACGCCTGCTATGTATGGTAACGTGATGGTTTTGATCGGCGTCTCAAGGGGTTGTTTCTCCATGGCTGGAGAAACAGCTTTGTGGATAATGCAGTCCGAATATCCATTCATCTTAAGGGCCTGGTGTACGTGTTCCAGTTCACTGGCTAGGTGGTGTTAGAAATACAGTGGGCCCTATGGTGTAGTGTTTTGATAAGGGAATTCTGTGGCGGATGGTGGTGGGAATCAGGTTTCAGATAGGAATCTGTGTGGCTGGCTTTCCTGTAGACAGTGTCCCAAAGAGCCATCAGGTCTCTTCTAAAACAAAACATCCAGGAATGGTAGCTTTCCATCCTCCACTTCCATGGTGAATTTGATGTATTGGTGTGTGTAATTAATGTGGCTGAGAAATTGGTTCAGTGCTGGCAGGCCATGTGGCCAAATTTCTAAAGTGTCATCTACATATCTCTTCCACAAGGAAGGACGTAGGGTGGATGTCTGGATGGCATCTGTTTAAAATTTCTCCACGAAAACATTCGCTAATACTAGTGATAAGGGGGAACCCATGGGGGTGCCTTCATTTTGTTTGTAGAAAGTACCATTCCAGGTGAGGTAAGTTTTGGTAAGGCAGTGCCTAACCAGAGTAGGAACATCAGGGTTCAGTCCATGTTGGACTAAATCTTCAATGATTGCTAAGGTGTCAGGCACAGGAACCTTGGTGAACAGAGAAACCACATCAAAGCTGATGAGAAAATCTTCTGGGGACTGAAATGCCCTTGATTAGAGAGACCAAGTGAGCTGAGTTATGTACTGCTGAGGTAGTCTTGCCAGTGAATGGAAGCAAGGTATCAGAAAACGGGCAAGCTTGTAGGTAGGTGAGTTGGTAGTGGAAACGATGGGCCGAAGTGGAGTGCCTTCTTTATGGATCTTAGGAAGACCATATAATCTGAGTGGTCTAGCAGCAGTAGGTTTTAGGGAGAGCTGTTTGACTGGTTCGATTAGAGAAGTCGAACTGGTAATGATATTGTTGGTTTTTGTAGTCAGGCTATTAGTAGGATCTTTGTTGATTTTAGTGTAGCTGCCATCATTAATAAGGTCCTGAATTTTGTTGTATGTGGGTTTGTCCATGATGACAGTAGCATTTTCCTTGTCGGCCGAGAGGATGACTATGTCATCCCTCTTTTCCAATTTTGGAAGTTCAAAGCGCTCTTCTTTGCTGATGTTACTAATGGGTTTCTTAGCATTTTTAAGGATGGTGGCAATTTCAGCTCTAGCAACGTCTTTCGGGATGTGTCCCAAGCCTTTGAGGGCTACGTCGACCTGGGAGATTATATCATCCACTGGGATATGTTTAATGGTGACTGCGAAATTCAACCCTTTAGCAAGTACCGATTTTAGGCTGAGAAATTGGGATGTTACTCTGATGACAATCTTGTTAACATCTAACTTTTTAACATGTGGATCTGGCTTCTTTTTTGACAGGAGGTTAAATTTAGCGATCAAGTTAACTTTACATTTGGTTGACATTAAATTAGCAGAGGTAATTCATGGTATCTACATGGTCCCAATCAGAAGTGGACATTTTTTCTGTTAATCAAATGTGAGCAATCTTATTCTCTCTGAGATTAGTGATAGGCTGGCTTTAAACAAGATCCGTTTAGCGTTATGAGAAGTGACAGCAGCAGATGTGAGTGTATATGCGATAGATATTACCTTGTTATCGCGGCATCTCTTGAGGAAGGTTAGCAACTCGATTAGTTGTGCTTTCTTGTCCCCTCTGTTAAAAGCTCTAACAAATGTAACCTGAAGACGACCGTTTGTGTTATGGTTGAAACGTCGTGAGAATTTTTATTGTTTTATATATATTTTATTATTTTGTTGTTTCCCTTTAACGTGACTTTACCGAAATAACTAAGAATACGAATTACTGCAGTCACGAAAGCTTTAAATCAAAAATGTAACTTGATCGCTAAATTCAAACTCCTGTCAAAAAAGAAGCCAGATCCACACGGTAAAACGTTAGATGTTAACAAGATTGTCATCAATCAGAGCAACATCCCAATTTCTGACAGCCTAAAATCGGTACTAGCTGTTGAAGGCAATGAAATCCATGGAGGAAAACTTTTCTGTTGACAAGCCTGTTGCTGGGTCAGCTTGACGGAGGAAATTGTAGCCATCATCAATTTGCTAGAAAATCAGTGGACATTGAAGAGCATCATGGGATCGTTGTTTCAATTCTGTGCAAGGTATTGTTCCTTAGTTGCAAGACGATGCCTCAAGTGCCATGTTGTTCAGCAGTCAGAATGAAAGCGACTTCAGATGTTGTGAGTGCATTTCAGTGGCACTCATGTTGACCATGTGAAGATTAGTCTGCAGGATTGACAACATTGTACTCCGAAGTCATCTTCTCCATGGCACACTTGAAACTGTGAATATGAGAGTTTTCCTTATGGAACGTCTTGCCACAGAAATGGGACTTGCATTTTTGGAATGCTGCTGAGCCTGTCTAGTATTGC